CCTTTTTTCTTTTCTTTCCCTTTTCCTCTCATTTTTCCCTCCCCCTTTTCTCATTTTTCCCGAAAGCAGCGCAATTTTACCGACAACATCCTGACAGGTGGGGTATCGCATCCCCACCCACACACACATATAACCCCCCCCCCCCCCCCCCTTTAGCGACGCCCCTGCCTGTCAGTTCTAATTCATCCTGGCCAAACCAGTGCAGATAGGATTTAATATAGAGGCGGCGCGCGATCGAGAGACCGAATTTGCCAATGCAAGGCGAATATAAGTGTAATACAATATTTTGTTATGGGGTCATGCATTTGGTTCAAATGAACATATTGGAAACATTATGCGATTTTATAATATCCAATGATCGTTGTCGCGTTTGAAATCGAGTCTCAAGTAATGCAATTGTAAATAATCAACTTTATGTTTCATAGATCCCTCTCAAGACTGATATCACTTTAGCTTCAAAACAATGTTTGTACTACAATCGACCGATTTGCTATCGCCGTTTGGAAATCATATATCATTAATGCATATGCTGAGATATTCATGGTCGCAGCTGAAATATTTGAAATTTACCAGCGAGAGCACCGGTAAAGTTTGATTATTTAATTTCTCGAAAGCAAATCTGTTTTATAGGGGCTGAATTTTGTAGTGCTTATAATACATATACAATTTTTGGTCATCCAAATACAACAAGATTTTAAAGAATAATACTATATCCATCCAATTTTCAAAATTTCTCAAAACTAATTTGCATTACCTTAAAACACATGTACTTACTAAAATTAGTGTTAATAAATACATTTTTTAGAACACTCGTTTTAATATGTCAAATAATTATTATGTGGAAAATTTCACAATTTTAGGAGGTTTCTTTCCTTTAAAAAAATGACTCTGGGCTAATATCCGTTAATACAGATCAGCATTTATCAGCACTTCCTGGATAAAAGGGCACCTTCAAATGGAAATCTCGAAGTGATAATATACATTTTGTTAGACATTGGTATATTTTATACCACCGCCTGATTTTAAATACAGTATCAAGGTTGATTTCAATATTTGTTTCTCTTTCGTTATAAACCATTCATGATATTGCTTTAATAAGCATCATACTTTGCGGTTGGGTGTGCAGGTCTGAATATCATTAATGTTCAGATTTGTGAGGTCGAAGTGCGAAAAATTACATCTCATAAAGAGGGAAAATCCCAACCATGATGGGGTTTATTAAGCACATTCTCATAACGGTAGACTGAAAAGATCTTAAATTTTGATGACATAACTATATCACCCATGAATGAGACCGAGCGAGCTTGGGGGAAGTTGCTCTAAATTGCTGTAAATTAGCATTGTTAATGATGAGAGGAAAAGAAACACTAATCGAAATGGATAAGACACATTAACAAAAAGAAAATGAGCACGTCGTGTCAAAGTACAGGTCATATTTCTCCTTCTATCCTCTCTCCCTGTCTCTCTTCCAAACCCACCACTTCTTCTCTCTCACTCTGTCTCTCTCCCGAACCCACACCCGTCTCTCCCCCTCACATAATCTGTCTCTTTCACTAACCCACCCTTCTTTCTCTCTCTCGCGAAGCCACCCCCCCCCCCTAACCCCCTCCCTCTCTCTCTCACTCTCTCTTTCCCTAACCCACCCCTCTCTCTCTCACTCTCTCTTTCCCTGACCCACCCCTCCCTCTCTCTCTCCCTCGATCCCTGTCTCTCTCTCCCAAACCCACTCCTGTTTCTCTCTCTCTCTCTCCATAACCCACCCCCTCTCTCTCTCTCTCTCTCTCTCCCTGTCTCTCTCTCCCAAACCCACTCCTGTTTCTCTCTCTCTCTCTCCATAACCCACCCCCTCTCTCTCTCTCTCTCTCTCTCTCTCTCTCTCTCTCTCTCTCTCTCTCTATGTGACTTACTTATCCCCACCTCACAATTGACATTTTTCCATAGTGTAACAATAAAGGATATTTATTTCATAAACCAGAGAAGGAGCAGTGAAATACTTTGTTACAAAGTTCAAAGATGCATTTCTGAAATTTAATAGAAAATTAACACCGACTTGCAATACAAATAATAAACCTACACAGGATTACTTTTCATATTCATATTCATATTTATTTCATATCCAACAGAAAGGTAAACAAAGATATTACATTTTTTTTTCGTACATAATTCATTTTTTTCAGGCAACTATACAAATAAACTTTGCAGATAATAAAATTATTACAAGAAATTCTTAATTTCTGAGCAAAAGGGGGGGGGTCCACTAAAAAGCAGTGCTTGCAGTTTGTGGATCCCCCAGAAAAAATAAAAATATAAATGTTTCAAATTTTGCCTACGAAGACGTAGAAAACACAAGACAATATTACAAAACAACATACAATGTACAACCACGAAACGAACAGGGAGAAGTAAATCAGATGAGAAGGAAAAGGGAAAAGGGGGAAGAAGGAAGAAGAAGAAGCAGGACAAATCATGACCGAAAAAGGGTAGTTATACTGTTAATTTTGGGAAGGTAAGATCATAAGACCAAATAAATATTAAATTAATCGAGCAGATGATGAAGACCTAAATGAAAAATTAAGATGATTACCAACTGTCATCAGATTATTCTTGTATATTACTATAAGATTTGAGCAATAATGTTTTTAGATTTTTCTTGAAAATATTTAGGGATGGACTATTTTTAAAACCTTCACTTTGAGAATTCCAAAATCTAGGACCATCATACATAAAAGACTTCTTCGCTAATAAAGTTCTAAAGAGTGGTAGGTGGAACTCGTTTGACCGTCTAGTTGGGTAATCATGAAATGATCGATTTAGGGGGAACATGGCATCAAATATGTGGAAGGGTCTTTTTTGAATACTTATACATAAATTGTCCTAAGTGAAGTAGATACAGGTCATTTGTTTTGAATAGTCTGCCATTAACAAATAACGGGTCTGTGTGTGAGAGTGGAGCAGAATGGTAAATGATACGGTGAGACTTCTTTTGTAATAATAACAGTCTATTTAGTAGAGTTTGCTGCGTGTTGCCCCAAGCAAGTATCCCATAATTCAGATATGGTAAAATTAAAGACAAGAGAGAAAGAGTACTTAAAGCGTACCATATCACACACAAATAAAATTTGCTCTGTATGCTAAGGTTTCCATGGAACTTTTCTGTATTCAAAATATGTGCTTCAAATAGTACTTGTGGAAAGACTCTCAATTAACAAAGAAGCAACTATTCCACGCACTCATACAAAATCACTTAGAAAGGGCACTTTGCATGGATTTTTACAAACTCATAACTTTCTCTTTGTTTGACCGATCTTATTTTCATGCTCCAATCAAATGTTGGAAAGGTTGGATTGCACATGGAAGAGTAACTTGAACAAAAGACTTCTAATAAAGGTAATTAACATACCACTAAGATGGCTACAAGAAGACCCAGGAGGCTGCCAGCAAAGACATCGCTCCAGTGATGCTTGTAGTCCGATACTCTAGAAAGACCAACCAAGATGGCCTGAGCAGGGCATCTCCAAATACTTCTGGTATCATTCGGGCTTGAAGATAAATCTGAAATGATTGGACGTACGTATAAATGATAATCGATACCGGTAATGTGTTTCATTATCTTTGTTTCGTAGAGGCAGGTGTAAATTCTGTCAATTACTTTTACTTCTGTCAAGCATTTAAAAATATTATTTAGTCAATTGCTATAGAATAGAAATAAAAGTAATACAAACTAATTAAAAGTAAACACATTGTAAAACAATTTAGTTTTTTAATAATATTTCTACTTTCTGAAAGGCTGTAAATATTAGCAGATTCTATATGGCATTTACAAAAGAGCAACTTGAAAATGTGATTTGTGTTTTATATTTAAGCATGACAATGACTGGCAAAAAAAAATCTGAAAATTTGTATTTTCTCATCCTCCTTCATGCATTCATTCTCTTCCCCAATATTCTTCAAATATGTATCAGCTAAATAAAACTTTTGCATTGGACATGATTCAAAGGTGGTAGTAGAAATCAGGTTCTATTGTGCTTCCCTAGAAGTGGGAATTCCCACATGCTTCTGCAGGTTGTTTTTCTTATTTCTCACTTGCATGCACTGGCTTTCTCTCTCTCCCTCCCTTTCATGATGCTCTTACTCGTTATAACAATTAGAATGGTTCTGCTATTTCAGTTATCTTACTCCTGACTGAGAATCAAGATTGTCATTTTCTTTGGTAAATATTTCTGAGCATCACAACATTTACCCTTCATCAGAGGATTTGAAGTCAAAGACTGGGACACATCATACTTCAACTAAATTTAAGGTAAGATTTGTCATGTGAATCAGCATTTATTCATTAACCAATATTCTTCAAATATATATCAGCTACATGTACAATGTACATTATGTTATAACTTTCAGTATTGGACGTGATTCAAAGGTAGTAATAGAAATCAGGTTCTATTGTGCTTCCCTTGGGAGTGGGAATTCCCACTGGTCTTGTCACCTCTTCTTCATGTTGTTTTTTAATTTTTCAATGCTCTAAAAGACCTTTGAAGATGCTCTAACACATTACAAGTAAAAACAATCAATTTGTTGCATATATTGTATGAGTGGTAATTAGTTAAAGGTAATGAAAAGTTTTGGTATGGGGTCATGAATTTGGTTCAAATGAGCATATTGGGAGCATTATGCAATCCTACGATATTCAGTGATCGCTGTCGTGGTTGAAATTGAGTCTCAAGTTATGAAATTAAAAATAATAAACTCTTTATGCTGTATAGCTCCCTCTCAAGGTCAAGATATTAATTAAGCCATAAAACAATGTTTCTTGACTAAAATCGATCAATTGGCTATTTCCGTTTGGAAATTAAATATCACAACTACATATTCTGAGATTTTGAGGGTCGCAGCTACAATGGCCGTAAGCGCTATTTGAAATTTTGATATTCAATTTTATTCGAAAGCAGAAGTGTGTTAGGTGCTAAATTTTCTAGTGCTTATAATACATCTATACAGGGACATCCAAATATATCAAAATTGTAAAGAATCACTATCCAGCCAATCTTCAAAATTTCCTAAAACTTTGCATTACCAATTACAATCTTTATACTTTATAGTCAGCTTAGGAGCAAATAAGTAAAATGAAAAACCCGTTCACGAACTTCGGTTTTATGATAATCCATAACCTACCAATCACGATTGCGTATTTGGGTCATGGATACGTCATAAAATCAAAGTTCATAAACAGTTCTTTTCATTTCAGTCATCCTGCTCCTGACTGAGTATAAAGATTGTCATTTTCTTTAGAAGGTTTTCTGATCATCACAAGATTCACACTACCGTACATTAATAATCCAACTGATTTGAAGGTAAGATTTTCCATGTGAATGAATTAGCATTTATACATATTTTCTCAAAAAGGCTCGTCTGTTATCAAAGCAACTGCTAAATTGTCATTCGTTCTCTCCATCAATATTCTTCAAATGCATTTCAGCTTCATTATTCTATAACTTCGGCATTGGACGTGATACAACGGTGGTAGTAGAAATCAGATTATATTGTGCTTCCGGAGTGGAAATTCCCACTGGCCTCGGTTTTAGGTGATCTGTTTGATTTTTTTTTTTTATTGTGTTTCACCTCCTCTATAGGTTGTTCATATTTTGCACAATGCTGTAAAACATAGGTGTTTTTCCTATTGTTCTCTATTCCTTTCATGAAGCTCTAACACGTTATATCAATCATTCGTTGTTATATTTTCAACCTACCGATAACGTGTGCGTATTTGGGTAATAGATATGTCATTTTAACACAATTCATGAACGGTTCTTTCATTTCAGTTATCTTGCTCCTAACTGAGTAGAAAGATTTTCATTGTATTTGGCAAGGTCTTTCAGAGCATCACAAGATTCACACTCCATCAGAGAATTTGAAGTCATAGACTCGAACACATTACAATTCGACCGATTTGAAGGTAAGATTTATCATGCAATCAGCATTCATTCATTATTTTTTTTCTCCAATGATTTGTTTGATTTTTATAATATAGAAATAAAAATTCAAGAAAATGTAAAGACAAAACAAAGGAAGCAGACCCTGCAAAGGTCCCTTTATATGATGTAGCCTATCTTTTAATGAGAAACTCTGATTAAGGGGAACAACAGATTGTGGTCTTTATGAACAGGTAGTCTTTCTATGCAGGTGGTGGCAAAAGAAGTTTTCACAGTCCTTAAGAATAACAGTCCTTATGCCTTTATGAATAGTGACCCCGTTTCCGTTTCATGAATAGCGGTCCTTCACATATAGGAAGTTACACGTTAAGAATAGCTGTCCTTATGAATAGCGGTCCTTACGACTAGCGAGGTAAAACCCCTTTTATTCACCCCATTTATTGTGTACGAAATGAGGGCATACATTTTCGCTGATAGAATGAAAAACAACAGAGTCTATTGATCTGAAATTTTACACATACTTTTGTAAACTCATTTTGCTGCTACAGATAAATTTTGAGATAAGTTATAAAAGGCTTGCGAATTCCTGATAGGACCTATGCATTTAGAAAATTACAGGTTTTCAGTTTGTGCTTCAGTGCTAAAAAAATATTGTGGTTGGGTAAAATTTTCAAATATACATGTACAATCATTAACAAACATTTCTAAATAAGAATAATCTGAATCGACTTTGATTTTATGATTTCAATTCCTCAGCAATATGGCACGCCAAGTAGCAAACGAGTATCCACAGATACACTGCCTTTCTTTAAACAGTCAAAGGTTGGACCGTAAAGTACCAAGATCGAAAGGTTACCTGGTGGTGGTTTTTGCAACATTGAAGAATGCCACAGCTAGAAAATCAATTCAATCAAAGGAATCAGAACTGGCAATGTATAATCCTTCCCGTGAATTCTCCATTCCTTTAAGGAGAGGTAGTGTACCAGCACACAGAAAATTGGTCATGACGAAGTTAGGAAAGAAAGTTACTGAAGATGATCTCCGTGAGTATGCCAGTGCGATAACTAAAGGAAAGAGTCAGTTGGTTTGGGCTAGTGAAGAAAATTTAGATTTCTGGCAGGATAAAGCAATGCATGGATATGATGTAATAGAAGTCCTCAACGAGATAGGCATGAGAATCCATGAAAGACTTGGTAGAGGAAGGGAAGGTCCATTGCCGGGTCCATTGAAATATTATTGAACATCCTGTATTTAAAATTAAAAAGTACCCATTTTTTTGCCTTCAGAACTGTAAGTTAATCTTGATTTCCGGTTAGTTCCTGAAATAGTTAATCCAACCCCGCCTATAAAAATTTCCACAGAATGATAAATACAAATTAATAACCATATTACTTCAATTGATATGTAATTGCTGCAATATTTCATGACAAAATAAACATGTGACTTTTTAGAGTTTCTGGGAATTGTGAAACATATTCAGTTTTGTTTCTGTTTCACTTGATTTAGGAACTTCATATTTTGTTTTAAAAACCCAGTTTATGATTGGAAATTGACGCAAGGCCTTAAACACTAGATGGCTCTCATAAAAAAGACCTTTAGAAAAATCTCAATTCAGTTTTTTGTTGTTTTAAATAGGCTTACATTTTGTTGCATTCTAGTGCATTTGGTTTCCAACAACTTGTTAACAAAAAATGTCAATCTATTATTGAAAATATTCACAACAAATTTCGTTTCAAGATTTCCTTATTTAGCACATTATTCTGGAGATTAAAATATGATTGAAAAGACTGATATGTGCAAGATCAAATTAAGGAACTATAGATAAAAATGCAATAATCAGTCATATTCTATCATGTATCCTTAAAACACATCAAATATGAATTCAGGAAAGCCATAACATATATTTCAATTTTGTGATAAATGTTGTTGTCCTTCATGTACAAACAAACATTTGTTTTTAATGTTTTCTTTGGGTGATCCATAGACCGAAGTCGTTAATTGATGGTTAAACGGTGCGTCCCAGAAAAAACGAAACCGAGAATTATCAACTTTTCAATTATAATTAATAAATGACACACATTTGTAAAGCTTAGATCCTCTTCTTTCATTTGATGCAACTCATGTGATGCATATTTCACGCACGAGTGGTTATAAAAACAATTTGAAGAAAAAAAATCACATTTCTATAATGTCCATTTTCTGTTCTTTCATATGACACCTCAATCAGGAATATCAAAGTTATGTTTGTTTAAAATAATGCTTGCATTTCCATAATTTAATTAAACGAATTCGTTTTCACTGGCTGCCTGCTGTAGCAATAAACAACAAACTCCGTTTCGTTGAAGCCATGCATGAAGTCTTACGTTTTCTTTGTTGTTGGGACAGAAGGCCACTGGAACGGATTGGTTTTTAAGATTATGGACATTTTTGGAATCAGCTCAAAATTTTAGCTATTTAAACTACCCCACCAAACATTCTGATCTTGCTCTTAGGGTACATAATGGTGCCATAGCTGAAACTTGTGTACACTTTTTTCCCATAATGCATCACTTGAGATTGTCTAAACACTGATGTCGCTAGATGGCGATGAGGATTGTAAATCAAATGCAGTGATATGTACAGGTGGGTGGGGGGGGGGGGGGGGTAGTTTATGGGCATAAACCCTTGTCAGTTGTAGTGCGTAACAGTGTATGAACTAAGAGACTATTCAGACTGCATGGCCTAATGTACCCCATAAGGCTCTGGCTTGTAGCTGTCATAGACTGACATGGCTAGCTATGCTCTGCTCTAGACTTTATAGAATTATGTTAGGGTATCAAATTAGAGTCTTTGATTGCAGACTACAGGGAAATGCATGTGTGTTTAATAAAGCAAGTTAATTTAATTTTGTTATGATTATGTCCGAGCTCTTATTATTTCTAGATTGGATTACTGCAATAGTCTTTATACTGTTTTATCTGATAAAGATAGAAGGAAACTTGAAACTGTCCAGAATCGTGCCGCTAGATTAATTTTTGGCCTTGGGTCAAGAACTCATACTTCACCTTTACTTAAGGAGCTCCACTGGTTACCTCTTCACCAACGTGTTCTGTTTAAATTTTGTTTGTATGCTTTTAAAATACTCAATCATCTGGCACCTGAATATCTTAATGACACCCTCCAAATATATACACCAACTCGTAATCTTCGTTCAGCAACCGACACATGTAAACTTAACATTCCCAAATCTAGACTCTCAGTAGCTGAAAAACGCTTTGCAGTAGCTGCATCAAAGACATGGAACAGCATCCCTCTTTCCATAAGGAAAATTACCTGTCTTGCCACCTTCAAAAGATCACTCAAAACTCACCTTTTCCCCCAATGATCTATATGATATACTTCCTGTACTGTACTTTCTTGTCCTCTTTACATATCTTTGTATTTGTAAGCGCTATGGTACTTATTGTTTTTAGCGCTCCTAAATATTCGATATTATTATTATTATTATTATTAAAATGATTACTAGGAATTCTGGTGATTTATGAGGAATTTCGTGTAGCCTATATTTTCAGTACAATTTACATCACTTATTTTACACAGAAAGGGTATCATACCAGTATAGACTGATGTAGACAGGTGGTCTTTGTAGACAGGTTTCTGTAGTACATGTTTTGATGAGAAACAAAAAATGTGCTTGTTGTAGACAGGTGGTCTTTGTAGACAGGTGGTCTCTAAAGCAGGTTTGACTGTATAATACAAACTGTAACAATGTTATTGGTGGTTTTAAACAAATACACTTTGTTTGATTTCTGTATTTGTGAATGAATTCGTTGTAAAAGTTTACTGGCATAATAAGTAAAAACTTTATTGGGGGGGGGGGGGTATCATTAAATATTACGATACATTTTATATTATCAATTTTAACAATTTTGGTAAACAAATGCTTTTGTGTTTAATTCCTATATCAGTTATCTCTTTTATAACACTGTGTATGGTGGTATTGTTATTGATTAGGTAAACATGTCGTGTTTTTTTTTATTTCTGTACTCTTTGTGAGCACTTTTGTTATACAATTTTACTGGTGACGGCTGACAAGTATATCTTTTGTTTTTCTAATAAGCCAGTTCATAGTTGCAGTCTGAGCATGAGCAGATAAAGGTCATTGCAGACCAAATTGTGAAATACAAGGAGACAAAATAATGGATACGTGCTCATGAAAGTTATGTAATCATTGTTCATTTTTGCACAAACAGTGCACTCCATGATACACAGATGGAAGTATTCTTTGAAAAGAGGGAACAAATGCTATTTATGTAGCACCTCCATCACTGTATAGGAGTGAATATTTCAAAATCTACAAAGTGGGACCTCTTCATGTTTTGAAGATATGTGGATATTCGGGGTCATTGCAGTAATGTGCTTACCGTGAACTGGTCTATTGCTGTATATCTTATTCCTCTTTTACAAATCTGGCACCCAAATACTTTTGTGTTTAATTCCTGAAAATATCTTTATCTCTTCTATACTATGTGTACGGTAGCATTGTTATTAGTTTGGTTAATAGATACATTTTTTCTGTAAGTCTTTGTAAGCATTTTTGTTGCAAAATTTTACTGGTGGCGGTTGACAAAATTATATTTCATTCCTCTTTTACAACGTTACCCGTACGGGTAGAAATAACATTCACATTGGTGTTGATTAGTAAATAGAGCTTGAACTAAATTATTCATACCCTCACCAAGGTTTGACATGTTTAAAGTATGTTTGTGGAAAAACGATTTATCCCGATTTTCTTCTTCTTCTAGAATGAGACTGTTAAATCTAAAAGTGTTCAATAAAGGACTTAGTTCAATTAGTCCACCTTTCAATCTTTAGTCGTAAAAACACAACAAACATCGAGGGGTTTGAAAAATGTAGTTTACTGTATCTTTGTAATGGGATTTCTGTCTATATCTTTTAACACTTTTGTACTCGTATAAACTGTAACATTGTTAATGGTGTTGGTTAATAAATTTGTTTTTAATTCTTTTAACAATCATGTGTTTTTTTCAGATTGTTTATTTTAAAAAATCTGCAAACACATATTGCTTTTCATGTTAATAGCATGATGTGCTATTCTCAATTGTCCATTATGTTCATACTTCAAAATGGTAATTTCTTTTTCTTTTAACATTTTTAACATGGTAAAGGCATAGTTAAGTTCTGTTTTCAGACCGCAAATGCCTTCAAAGTGCATGGTTATTGGTCTTATTCTTATCTATGACATTTCTAGTGCCCTTTTAGAACTTAAAATTGCTATGAAGGTAATTTTAGACCCCAAAATATGTGAAATCTAGCCAATACGAGCATAACAATTCAGCTCCACTTTAAAAAAAACATGGTGACCGTTAATTAATTATTTAATTAAAAATAACAATGGGCCGGCTGGTTGTGCGTAATATAAGCAACAAGAAAATGCCAACGAAAAAAAAAAAAAAACATTGGCATTGGCTGAAATACGACGTAAAAGGCGTTATTTCGTTTTTTATCAACGGTTTTTTCAAATTTTTCAAAATATCTAATATTTGTGGTGGTACCAAAGTATTAAAAATCGTTATATTTCAGCCGTCTCTGAACCGATTTTGATCAAACAAAGATGATTTTGTCATTTAAATATTAAGTTCTTTCAAATTTGACTCAGTTTTTCATTATCTCACCAAATAAAAATTGTGTTGCACCCTCTGCAACAGAACTCAACTTTCCCTTTAAATCACCTTTATACCAGTTGCAAGGCTATTATTTCTCATTCACAACTCCCTGAAAGACATCTCAATGACAAACCAATTAAGATACAATTTGTTTTCAGATATCATGCACACTTGAGTGTTCCATTCCATCATGTAGATATATATTGCAGGATCAAATTGACATGATCGGCTGCCAAAGCAGTGACACATTAAACAAGCACCTTGCTCAAAATTACATGCGGACTTTAGATTTTGCATGGTTTGAGGGCAAAGTGATCAGTTCCCATAAATGAACATGCGCCCTCTCTTGATAAGTTACTTCTCAGTTTGAAAATGAGATTTTTTTTTTTTACAGGTGAAAATGGTCATGGGTGACTGCCCTGCGCAATCATGCAGATTGTATCTTTGTTTCTTCCCACCATTCTTTTTCCTTCTCTTTTATCTTCCGTGTATTTTCCTTTAAGATTTATTAGGGTCAATTCCCCCCCCCCCCCCCCCCCCCCTCAGTGTAATGTAGGGTACGCATATGCGTGTTCCCTCTTTTTGAAAACACCCCCTTATAGTTCGGTGTGTAAAGTCAATTTTGTGTATGTACGAGCCGGACTTTGGTGCGTGAAAAGTACCCCTTTACCGGACATTTTGGTAACACGCATGCGGTCATTCCGACCCCGGAGTGGTCGGAATCAGAGGACACCAATCAGAGGACAACATTTATTCGCGATACCAAAGAGAGGTATATAAAGCTATATAATAAGTCTTATATAGCTCTATGGGTTCATACACAGTACGTCCTCCCAAGGAGGAATAGGGACTTTTAGATTTGCGTGGACTGATACATCTGACGTCCATTCAAGCAGGGAGGTGAAAGAAAAGGAGGCGAAACTCTTGTAATTTATTCAAACGCATTCTTGAGTTCTAAAGCGTAACAATGGGATGTGTAACATTCCACTTGGCTTTGAAGTTCCATGCTCCGAACCGCGCTTCCACGGCAGGGACTTTCGGAAGTCAGGCACCAGTTTTACATTTATTACAAAATATTAAATTACCGGCAAAATTTCAGTGTAAATCAAAAACTTTATATGGGGATTTTATTTGGAATAGTGCATCAAACAATTTTTCAAATTTAGAACTCCGTCCTTCCTTTAATTTGTGTGCCAGAGTTGGTAAAAAAAAAAAATTACATCCTGTCAAAAACTCAATATTTTAGGATGATGCGCTAATTTGTGCATGCTTTAATGCCCCGTTATTTGATCCATGATTTACAATCTTCAATAACAATAAGTTTGCTAATGCGTGTTTTCGCGTGTTTTTTGTATTTTTCAAGTTTAAAAAGGAAAGTACACAAGTTTGTGTTCGCTTGTTCTACTCTTT